TACACACACACACACACACACACACACACACACACACACACACATTTCTAAGAATGGAGATAGATAGTTGTCTTTCATTTGAAAGAACTCACTAAGTGCAGAAGAAGTCAAAGATATGCAGCAGAAATTGAGCACAGGATTTTAAGAGTATTACCATGATCAGACTGTTTTTACATAAAGATCAATCCCCACTGGCAGTGTTAGGGGTGAACTAGAAGCTCAAGATTATATGCAAGGTATTAACTGGTAGATAATTGCAGTAATCCAGATAAAAGATTATAAAACCCTATGCTAAAAAAAATAGAAATAGAGAAGACATATGCAGGGTCAGAAAACATCCTAAGACTAACAACAGTGGTGAAATACTGAAGCCAAACTATGTGCCTTGAAATCTAATGATATTTAAAACCGCATGAAGCACAGCCATCTCCTAAGCCACCTGTTAATGTAGGTGACATTAATAAGATGACAGATAACAGATTAGATTAAGTAATGGCATAGCAGAGTTCAACATAAATGGTCTTAAAAACTTGAATCAAAATATTCAATACTTTTACTGGACATGACTGTGAAAATACAATTCTTTTATAGCAATATATCCCAAACTTTATTTTTATACAACACCAGTACTACAAGATGCTCAGTGAAAAATAAAAGATTCATAATCCTATAAAGTTGGGAAAACTCTAAAAGTATATCTTGCTGTGAGACCCTCTAATCATTTATTAGCAAATCAAAAGGTCTCAGAAGCACTGTAGTAATGAAATATACGAACTTTTGAAATGTAGAACATTTTCCTCCAGGATTATTTAGTTATATCCCATGAAATACAGGAAAATACTACCCCAGAGACACACGATCATGTATTTATAAGAATCTAACTTAGTTATTTCTCTGTTGTACATTTAGAATATGGGAAATAGCTAAAAACATTTTGCTTTCCAAGTATGTCTATTTTACAGGAAAGGAGAAAATGAGGGTAAGAGAAGAAAATTCAACAGAAAGATAATTTAGGTATGAAATAACCTCACTTAAAAGATTAGCAATATAGTAATTATAAAATATCCTAAAGTAAAAGATTTACCCTTTCTAATATTAAAGGAAGACAAAAGACAGTAATTGCTTATGCCGCTGCCCATCTAGGTGGATACGCAAATCACTTCTGTCCATCCTCAGAGGTCCTTCATGGTCTGCTGTGATTAAGGAGAAGGCTGATTCTGTGACAAATCCACCTGAATCTTCACCACCACAAGGAAAGCTGTTTTATGCTCACATCTAGTCTTCACTGGATCAGGCGGCTCTCCTCTAAACTGTGATGCAGAGACCCAGGCTACTTACATAATGTGGCCTCAAGGTCATTTTAGAATCACACAGAGAAAGAAGACATTGCGAAGAGTGCACAGGCAGAAACACCAGTACCTTGCTGTGGAAGTTACCACACATCATTCCCACACATCCCACTGGTCAGGACTGGAAATAAGGTTGTACAGAGATGCAGGGAGGGCATTCACAGTGAAGACTGTTGTGCGTTCTTGACACAGTGATAACCCTTCCTTTTTTTTTCTGGTGCTGTGGACTGAACCCAGGACTTGTGCATATTAGATAAGCACTCTACTATTGAGACATACTCCCTTTTCATAATTATTATTTCTTTTTATCCCAAGTAACGTTTTTTTGTTCTGAAGCCCTCTTTAACTTTAACTTCCTTCTGATTAAGGTTTGCAGAATAGATATTTTTCTTTTAACTTATCTGTGTCCTTAAATTTAAATTTCATTGCCACTATTTCTTGCTTGGATGATTACAATTAGCTATTTGATGACTGTAGGTTAGCTCATCTTAAATTTATTCCCCAGAATGATCTTTTCAAAATTAAGATACAATCTTGTTATTCTCCAGCTTAAAAAAAATCCATGGTACTTTGCTGGTTTTAGAATCAATTCCACACACCTGATAGTTACCTAGAAGTCCAGAGATGATCTGCTTCTATTGACACTTCCACCAGCGCTACTGGGCACTCCTGGCCTCACACTCCATACTGCTGGCACACTGAACTTCGACAGTTCCAATAACTCACTTCTGGATTGTCACCTGCTGTTCCTCTTCATCCTACCTTGCTTTTCTAAGGGCCAACCTAGTTTTGTATTTATATCACTTATACATTACATCACTGAGGAGGCTAATTTAACCCCCCAATTCTGAGGTAAGAGCTCTTCCTGTATGTTTCCCATGCATTATCTATTTCCTTTATCAAAAAATTTATGAAATGGTACATTTCCATACACTTCACTATTGTATTTTAGCATAGAATCTGTTGATAATTAATATTAGTTGGGTGAATAGCTGAATAATTAAAAATTGTTAGTAACCTTAACAAGGAAGTTCAGTGTAGTAATGGTCCCTAAAACTGGATTATGAACCAGGAAAGAATGTAATAAAATGTAAGGCAAGAGTTCATACCTAAAAATAAATAATGAAAAAGGAGTCTGCAGTAGTGTGGACAGCGGTGGCTGTGTTCCCTGAAAGGTCATGTCCAGGTGTGCAGCAGGTAGCAACTGACACTAGTGAAGGAAGTGACTTGGCAAACACAGACCGGCCATCGAAACCTCAGGCCAGAGGAAGCTGAACTAAAAGATGAGCATGGGCTGTTCTTGCTGCACCACACACTATCTGCCCCGATGTGCTACACACAACCCTAAAAGCACTAGGCCAATCAATCATGGATAGAAATCTCCAGAATTGGGAGCCAAAAACATCAAACCCTTTCTTTATAAGTTGATTATCTCATGTATTTGTTACAGTAACAGAAAGCTAACAGAGTTGTCTTATGCACATAAACTTAAGTCTGTTTTACCAATGAGAAATAGAGAAAAACGTCAGAAAAAAAAAAAAAAGCTTTGCTGTCTGGATACAAGAATACTGAGTTCTCAAAATAAATTTTTTGAATATAAAAACACTTCCCCAAAGCCAAATAAGCCTAGGTGTCTGTAGCCTTTTCAACCTTACAGTGTAAGGTTGAAATGTATTTAAGGTCCTGGACTCATTCCCCCTGAAATACTTGCCTCTCAAATATCTCTAGAGTTAGACAACTCTCTTTGCAGTTTTTTCATCTTCTATGTAGCTGTAACTCAACTGTTAAGGGTTGCTCTTAGCCCAGGATTATAAATTTCATACAGTTTGCTCAAAAAAAAAAAAACCCAACTCTTCATAAACACAAAAATTTTTTCTCTACACCCAACAATTACCATTGTAAGATTGTTCCACTTTGGATACAATCACAGTCCATACATACTACTGCAATGTATAAATATTCTACCATTTATGTATTCTATTGTTGATGGGCAGTTTCTTGGACTAAAAAACTCCTATCATAATATACATCATAAATAAACAGGTCTGCCTGGCATAGTGGCACATATCTGTAATACCAGCCATCAAGAGGATGAGGCAGAAATATTGCCTCCAGTTTGAGGACAGACTGGGCTTTGTAGTGAGTTCATGGTCACCGTGAACTATAGACCCAGTTCAAAAAGCAGAGTGGGAGAGGGGAGAGGAAGGGGAGGGAGAGAGGGTGTGCGGGGAGAGAGAGAGAGGGAGAAAACACAGGGACAAAGAGTTTAAAGGGACTGGATTGTAAAGTTCCTAGAACCACGAGCTTATGACCTCTATCCAGTGTAAAGGAAAATCCATGAAATTGTCATTATAGGAATGACAAACAATGAAAACAAGGAACCGGAGCATTTATTCAAGGTGCCTGCAAGCAGTAAAATGTCATAAATAATGGAATCGTGTGTGTGTTCCCCTTAGAAAAAAATAACCAATGTCCCTGGACTCAATCCAAAGGAGATGCTGAAAAAGTCAAGATGAACCACAAACCACCATTCTATGGGTCTCCAGCTGTTGACTGCTGCAGTTCACTCTGGGTATGTGGAGACCCAAAGAAATAACGTTTTCCTGTCCTAGGGGCCACCGCTCGGTGATGTCAACCTCCAGTGTTCATTTACCTCTTGACTTCTGGTCTTCCATTCTGAAAATAAAGCATCCTGCTGAGGCTTTTTTAGGGTTTGCCCCACCTTTGCTAAATACTAAGGTGTGTGACGTAAGGCAGATTTCTTTTCAACTCATTTTTCTCTTTTATAAAAATGAGGATTTTATAGTATCTTTACAATTAACTGTGGCCATTAAATGAGTTAATTCACCTAAAATGCACAGACTAGAGCATGGCAATAATAAATGTTACTTATGGTGCTATTTTGAGCCGTTATTATTCATACATCAACAGATACTGGGTACTGCACTAGGCACTGAGCAACCCGGTGAAAGGACAACCCTTTCCGCAGAGTCTCCCTTCCTTGACCCGTGCGACAGGCGGCGGCTTTGGAGCCCCGATCTTGGATGCCACTGTGGAGGTGGCAGTTCACTGCCACTGTAACCTTGCGGGAGCACCTGATCTCTCAGATGCTGCTTCCTCCTGTGAAAAATGAAGATTAATAAAATCTACTTTGAAGATGTGTTTTTAACTATTAAGTAAGATGAAATATGCAAATTGCTCAGCAAACTGTTGGAACTAAATATACGCTCCTTCCAGCAGTCCCTCACTCACCATGTGGCCACCCTTGAAGTTGCAGGACCCCGTGCCCCGCAGAAAAGCCTGGGCTTTCTCCAAGTCTGGGCGTGGTGCAGGGACACCTAAACCTGCCCGCTAGGAGCCAGGCAGGGGCACGGCCTCCCGAACTACAACTCCCGGGATGCTCAGCGGGAGGGCTCCGCCCCACGACCCCGCCCCTCAGGCCCCGCCCCGCCCCGCCCGGCAGCGGACCTCGCCCACCTCGCGGGCGCTTGTCGCGGTGTGCGCGATCGTGGGCGCGGGGCGGGGCCTCCTCCCTCCCGCGTCGGCGCGGATGCGTGGGCTCCGCCGCACCGGGAGGCGGAGGGTGAGTGCTACGAGCGGGGTGCCCGGGAGGGAGCGGGCCCGCGGGTCCCGGCGGGGTGGGCTGGTTCCGGTCTCTGCGGAGGGCGGGGCGGCGAGGCGCGTCCTTTACCTGGGCTGCGCGGGCGTGGACGGGCGGACACCGGGACTCAGCGGCCCCCCGGTGAGCCCGGTTCGCCGTGCAGCTGGCGGTTCTCACCGCAGGTGGGAGGAGGACTGAGCGACGGCTTGCTCCCCCTTTGTTGTAAACTGGACCCCACTGGGGACCCCGCTGGCTCGTCCTAGCCGGTTTCTCTTCCAGTAGCTGGGGGACCGTCCCCACTTGCTCACTCTTTGCGTCTTTCTGTACGTTCCATCCACTTGGCAAAGAAAAGCTCTGGTTCAGTCTTGGTTTTCTTGCACTTAGTGGTTTTCGTTGGTTGCTATGCTGCTGTTTGGGGCACAGAGAAACTCTGATAACAGAAGACAAATGTTTGTTTAAAAATAAAGACAACCCACTGAAGCACCGCAGAAAACCTGTCCATGCCTTCCCCCAGGCTCGGACTGTCTTGCTGGGTGACCCTAGGAACCTTGGCCAGCCTTCCACTGTCTGTTGGATTCTGAAGAATAACAAGCATTAAGCCGTGGGTTAAAATCAGTGCTCACCTTGGATTTGAAATCAAAATTAAATGGGCCTTTCTTAAACCCAACAAATAGTGACAGTGGAAAATGGATTTCTGTTTTTCAGAAAGGTGGTGGTGGAGGCAGCAAAGATTGGCAGCTGGCTTTCTGCCAGACCCAGAGCCCACGAGGGTGAGTCTGGGATATGAAGTCCCACAAGTAACCTTGGAAACAACTTCTCACCTGTTTGCCTCCACCAAACTCTGGGTTTATAATCTGTCTCTATTGTCAGCCAACTTCCAGACTGGGTCTGTAAAATTTGCTGGACGGTCAACTTTCTGTGCTTGTTTGTTAACAAACCATAGGGAAAAAGAGAAACTGTCCACTGAGACTTGGTGAGTCTCAGCAGGCAGGGGCAGCCGGAATAAACAGAATGTATTGCAGTGGCTGCTTATGGCTTCATGCAGGGGTCGCTGTGAAGCATGCTGTCTTGCACCCCTGGGGACCAGCACATTTTGCCTTGTAGGGCAGAAGGAAGTCTAGGGCTGCTTGAAGGAAGTAGAGGGCCAAGGGCTATACAGGTGTGAGCCTGAAACGGTGGCTGGTGAATCTATCTGCCTTTTGTCATCACCTCAGAGCTGCTGAGTTAAGATGCTGAACTCTTGCTCCAGTGGAACCCAGCTGATAGGAGCATGTAAGTATTAAAACAAATCTGACTAGAATCTGTTCTGACCGAGTGTAAACACAGTGTAATTGCATTAACAAGCCTGTGCTTCCAGTCCTCCAGAAACTCGGCATTTCTGCTAAAAGGGGCCCCTGCCTTTCTGCTTTGTGTCTATCTACAGGAAACCTTCCTTCTCCTTTGAGGGATCCTGTCACAGAAATGTGTGAGCCCTTGGATAAATTTGGGTTGGTGATGGTAGTGTGCTTTCTCCAGAGACACTGCCACTTCCTGGTCCTTTTCTACCCTGAGTTTCTCAGTTTTAACTCCTGTGACAAGTGAGGTGGTTTGCCCTTTTCACACTTTCCTGCCACTAGGAATCACCCCTTCTTTGGCTCTTTTTAGGAGGAATTGGGCAGAAGTGCCCTTGTGGTGACCGCAAAGGAGATGGGGCCCTCAAGAGCAGTGCTTCTGGTAGCTCGTGATCTGGCTTAGCAGTACTGAGTCCATATCTGCGCTGCTCCTGGCAGAACTTCTAGAAACTTCTGGGGGCCGTCTGCCCAGCTCCATGGAGCTCCAGTGCCTTGCTAAGAAAAGCAGCCGGGCCAACCTGTGTGACATCATGGACTGGGCTGCAGAAGGGCCTCTTGGGGACCGGGAAGGGGCGGCCTCCATCAGAGCTGCTCTGTGCTGTCAGAAACGCTGCAAGTCCGTACCAAGAGCAGACGTGATGGAAAGATCTAGACATCGCCCCTCCCTAGAACCCCACTCCTCCTCCCAGCAGGACAGCACTATTCAGCCAGCCTTCTTCCCTGAAGGACCTCCTGGGAACAGCCAGATGACATCAGAACAGAAAGTCTGCCACTGCTGCAGCCAGGAGCTAGACACTTCTCTCACCTATGTAGATGAGAATGTCAACCTGGAGCAGCGAATCCAGAGGTCCACTTCAGCAAAGGGGGGTAATTGGCCTGGAGACCTTGGCTGGGGAAATCCAAATGAATGGTCCCAGGAGGCTGCCGTGTCTTTGATATCTGAAGATGAAGACGACACAAGTTCAGAAGCCACCTCTTCAGGGAAATCGGTGGACTACGGCTTCATCAGTGCCATCTTGTTCTTAGTCATTGGCATCTTGCTAGTGATCATTTCTTACATTGTCCCCCGGGAGGTGGCTGTGGATCCCAGCACGGTGGCAGCCCGGGAGATGGAACGCCTGGAGAAAGAGAGTGCGAGGTTGGGGGCTCACCTGGACCGCTGTGTGATTGCTGGGCTCTGCCTCCTCACTCTCGGAGGCGTTGTTCTGTCCTGTTTGCTGATGATGTCTGTGTGGAAGGGGGAGCTTTATCGGCGAAGCAGATTTGCTTCTTCCAAAGAGTCTGCAAAACTCTACGGTTCTTTCCACTTTAGGATGAAAACCAGCACTCATGAAAATGCCCTGGAACTGTCCTTGGTAGAGGAAGATGCTCTTGCTGTACGGAGTTAACTCTGACTGAACTTCTTGGGAGTCTGCCTTGGCATTTTATATAAAAACTTTTTCTTAAAATTAATAATGTGACTTATTTCCCCAGCAAGAAAAGTTTATTTCACAAACCAACAACCAGCCAGTGAGTGTTTTGTTCTCCGAGTATCTTCTGTTTAGAAGAAAAGTCATGTAAAATGCATAAGAAACCACAACCAGCCACACCTAGCTTTCTGAGAGTTGTAAACCATTAATCTGTAATGGCCATGAGCTTCTATTTGTATAGCAAAATAATTCTAATGACCCAATATACAAGTGGTGTCTTTTGTAAAACTGTAGTATTCTTCAGGTGTACGTGGAAGTTGTACATATAATGGGATCGATTGGCAATCTGTTTTGTGAAAAACAAGCACTAATCACATAGTAAACCATACATTTAATTCTCAGAGGTGCTTATCTGTTTTCTTGCTGGATTTTTCGTGATATAATTTGGCTAAATACTAAAATACAGATGTTTGAGTGTGGATATTGTGAAGCTTGAGAATGTTGGGTTATTTTTAAACTATAAAAATGTTTAAATTAAATTATTTAAATTAAATTAATTATTAAATTTAACATTTTAATTTAAATTATTTAATTATTAAATTAAAAATTAACATTAAATAATTTAATTATTAAATTAAAAAATTTAAATTATTCCTGTATTTAGAAATGGCAACTATGTTATTAGAGTAAAATTTCTAATAAAAACTTTATGAATCATAAGACCAGTGTAAAATAAACCTGCAGTATTAGTACCACATATTTGCCATTGTCCCATGCGAAGTAAAAGTGGTTGCTGATATAAATTTTCTTTGTTTGTGTTTTTGTCATCATCCTGGTTGTCTGTGCTCTTGAAGTCTTTGCCATTTTTCACACCAGAAAAGTGAAGCATGAGATTTAAAATACACCTCCAGACACCTGACCATCAAGACAAGTCTGAGTCATGGCTGGCTCTGGCATGCTCCCGTGCACTGTTGCACTGCGGGTGTTTGGAGACAGTCTCGTGAGAGATTGCAGCTAGACTCTTGGGAACTGCACCTGGCAGGCCGTGTCATTTGCCACCAGCCTTTGCCTCAGGACACTATGCCCACAGCCGAAATACTGCAACTGGAGGAAAGAAAGACCAAACTCCCATTCAGTAGGAACAGTGCCCACCACCAATGTGCTTCCTTCCCGGACAGGTCCAGACATCCCACTGAGTGTGTTATGTTTGGGCTCCTCAGTAACTGTGTGCTCTAGCCTTATAAAGTATAATTTCTTGGTCTAGGAGGGACAAGATGGGCAGTGTAGTTATATACCCCATGTCCACACTGCCACTGCCACAGTATGGCAGTTGCTCAGTAAGGGACAGGGGATGCAGCCTCAGAAGTGCTTTGCAGTGTGGGACTGTTCCTGACGTGTTTCCAGCCTCCCACTGTAGGAGTTGTTATCAGTTAAATCCTACATCTGAATTTGTGTTGTCAGTGAACACTGTGGGATATGTGGATGACGTTGGCTGGCAGTGTGTGAGTCAGGATATTATGTGAATGAGCACTTGTGGGTGTCACATCCATTTGATGGGTAGTTACCTGTGTGTTACTCGGGGTCAAGCTAAAGTACAAAAAGGGATGATGAGGGGGGTAGATGTGTGAAGGAATCATGAGAAATCATGATTTTTATTTTCTATAGCTGGCTTGTTGTGTTTTTTAGGTAAATCTGTTTAACTATGACTGTCATGTCATGGTTTGTGTTGAGGCCACCTTCCCAGCAGTATAAATTTTATGTCCTGAAGGTTTATAAATTGTCCAGTTCTAGCCTGCTTGAGGAGCTGCAGACAGGAAGGAAATAATCTGCCTGAATGAGCAAGCAGGTCTTACCTGGGTTAAAAAAAAAAAAAACTCTGAAAATTACATTGTAAAATCTACATGTTTATTCATAGAGCCCAAGTGAGACCAACTGTATTTTGTTTCTCTTTAGTAGTGAAGCAGGATTCATTAGCCAAATGGAAGACAAAACTGAATTAATTTATAGCCTGATTATCAGTTGATGACACAGGATGAGTGTCTTTTCAGTTCTGTAAAATTGATGATAAAGGAGAAAACCCAGTGCTTTTCATATGGAAGTGTTTAATGAATCTTACATGCTACTAAATTTATAGATATGATCTAAAGTCAACATTAATAAAAGCTATATAGGAAAAGAACATATATATTCAAGTGGGGGTGGGGACCTAAACTGTGAGAATATTTTTTTTCTGTGAGAACTGTGTAAAATTTTCCTTAAGATTTAAAATTGAAAGTTGGCAGTTAGCAAATAAATTCTTATTTAGATAACATTATTTAAATCTGCTAAAATATAACTCTTTTAAGGTTTAACTTTTATGACCACAGACCATTCTACTTACTAACAGGTACCAGTTAAAATCATCCACATGACTGCTTTAGGCTATTTTCATAATTCAGATAATTCCTGCAATCAGCCTTCCCCTGTGTATTTAGTTTGAGTAGTCCTCCTCCATTTTATCAGTGCCTGAATTGAAGACAAAGATTGCTTGATTTTGAAAATAAGGGTAATCCAGACAAAGAAAAATGCACAACTTTGAACACCATTGTTTCAATCCAATAGTGTTTTGATGCTAGAGGTACTTTGGCCAGACCAGGTGGAAAATGTTACAGACATTGCAGAGACAGTAGCCATAGTGTTAGTCTGGGAACCTTCATAGAAATTTGTGACCTTACATCCATCTCTTCAACATGGTGCTGGTTCTTATCTATAGAAGTTTTTATTACTAGACCTGGAAAAGCAGAATTTACAGAGCTTCTACACCTTAAGCTTATTTACCTGGTTTCAAGAATCTCATCTCAGTGTCTCTTCCTAATCTTAAAGAGAAGGCAGCTAATCCTTCAGCCATGTGGCCCAACAGTGTGAGGACGAGAAAGAAAGCTGCCTTTCTTTGCTGTTGAGTTCTGCATGTTGCTAGTGGACAATTCAAGCTTTCTAATGTCTTTCTAAACTGCCTACTTAGGACACCTTAAACTGTGGTAGAATTTGAAGTTTTCTTTGCAGTGTTATGGGTCCTTGCCAGCTGTTGGAAGCTCTTGAAGCAGACCATATAATATGATGTACTGCCCTTACATATGAAGAATGTCTTCCCAGGCTTCCCATTGCAGAGCTGATTTGTGGTTCAGAAGAGTAAAGGGCTGCTTGGAAGCAGGAAGTCCTTTCTGGCTGTGGCTGGTTTTACTCACATGACTGCTATGTACCTTGATTCTGTGCTACCTAGCTGCTTGCCTTGATACTATAGGCTTTGCTGTCTGCTTAAAATGTTTGAATTTGTCCCCTCACACTTACCTTTTTATTCCAACCAGTGCTGGAACATGTCTTTTGAGGTGCAAGTTTAGACAAACTACTAAAATCATTTGTGTTTTCTCCTTATCCCCTACAGTAAGGTCAAATGAATGCATGAACACCATGCCAATCATATATCAGGAATTAAGGATCTGGACCTAAGGGGCTTTTTTTTTACTATGTTGGGACATGCAAAAATTCTAGAGAGTTGAATTTGAGTATTTTGACCTTCATGCTTCACATGTGTGCCTGGATTAATCATCTCTAGTTAAAGAGGTATGTTAGGAGGAGGATTTTTTCAATCTTAAAATCAGATTCTGTTATAGTAATCAATGCTACCAAAAACCATGGTCTGACCAACGAGAGCCACAATTTTTGCCAATGGTTTACCTGTTTGAGCAAGATTTAATACCATAACAAGATTCTACTGCAACAAAGGAATAAAACAGATCTTTATACTTCTGTTTAATGGATTTAACCTTTCCCAGAACTAGGCATAAAGAATGACTTTGATAAAAAGTATTAATATCAAGTCTCACTGATTTTTTTCAGTGTACAAAAGCTCATAAGGTAGATAATTAATATCTCATCTTTTATCTCATTTCAGCTATATCATTTTATGTTTATCTTGTACTCCATAATACTCTCTCCTCACTTTTCTGAACATACATCTTAGGAAGTAATTTCCCTAACTAGAACATTACCATTGTAAAGATAAAGATGTTAAACACATAAAACTGATCTCAAAAATCCATGGCTTCCACTTAAAAGAGTGTACTCGTGGTTTTTGTCTATTGGCGGGCAAGTTTATGTGTACAAGTCTATAAATGTATTAGGATATAGTTGTAGAACTTTAATATCCCAAAGCTGCTGTTAGAATAATTTTGTCATAGGAATTTGGTGTACCTTAATGTTGACTTTAAAAACAAGAGAAACCTTTCACAGGTCATGGATGAAGAATTTGTAATCAACCACAGAATAAGATGCCATAATTATAGAAATCTGTTTTGGTTATTCAGTATCCTACAAATGTTTATTGATTTTTTTTAACCTTTCGATTTCAGGCTCATAAGACTGTAACATATTTAGAAATTATTTTACTGTCAATTACAGGAAAATATGGGCAGCATATTCCTTTGCTTCAAGTTTTGGTAACTCTCCTATGTTTGAGAAACAGCCAGCCTGTTTTCCCACTGCTATCTTCCCCAGATTCAAAACAAATATCATGAAAGAAAGCAGAGATAGTTAAGCCTATATGATGTATTTTGAGTTTTCACTAAATGGTTCTTGTCACACTTTTAACTCCACTTTTCTTGCCAAAATAATTTGATGATGATCCTGTGTTTTTATATTAAAAGGGCAATTATTAAGGTTATGAGCTTTTTCTTATGGCATTTGATGCCTTATAAATAGCAAATGTATCGCCTTAAAATTATTTATTGAGATGGTTTATTGTGTGTTTACTTTTATTTAAATCTGAATCTGGTGCTGATTTGATCCTTTTAAACTGTTTGAAACTATCTGCACAAAAAATTAAAACTATGAATATTTACCCCTAGCTCAAGTGTAACATTCTTCTTGATAGCATAAGTAATATAAACTGTGCTTTCATTATTTCTGCTTCATATATATGGAATAGTCAAAGGTATTTGAGTATCTCTAAATTACTTAGTGTTGAACTTAGAGTATGAATTGGATGATGAAGTAATAAATACATGAACAGATATTTTTAAAAACATACAAAGTTTAGAAAGCTTTTAGGTGAAAAACATATATTAAGTTATTTTATGCCCATGCCTTTAATTTGCTCTTAATCTAATTTTGATTCCCATTTTCATGTGAGGGATGCATTGCAATGTACATTACTAAGTGAAATTGTGTCTATTGTGTATGTGTTGCAGAGGTGAAGGACTCTAAAGAGACATTTGGAAGTGAGGCTCTATATATTGTTTCACTCATTTAAAAGGAAAAAATCTAGTTCTTTCATCATATATATTTTTTGCTTTGAAAGCTTTTGGTTTGTGTTAATCACCTCTGATCATTCAGAAAGACCTGTGTAGTAATAATTCCATGGTCTCTTGCTGCATGTCTCTTGTGGTCAACAAGGGTGCTCTCAGGAACCCAACCTTATGCAGATACCTAGCCAATTGTTGCTCATTATTAAGTTAGAAGGAAACAGAGTCTGAAAGGTCTCAGGCAGTCACTGCACCTCCCCCCACAGCTTATCAGCCAGAACTAATTATGTAGTCCCATGCAAACCAAGAAGTGCAGTCCCATTTTGTGCCCCAAAATGGAGAGAGTTAAAACTGTTGGCTAGATGTCTACCATAATTTCTAAGGTCTTTTGTATTTGTATTTTATAAAACAACTCACATGACTTGAGAAATAAACTCTTCCTATAAGGAAATCATATTTGCTTTTAGATAATATGGTGTTTTTTCAAAATATGCAACCAAATTTAAACAATCCCATCAGGTGGC